AGGATTTTGGATCGTGAAAAGTTTAAGGGAGATTCCCTGTTATTTTTCATTAGAGGTTTGGGAATTATTTTTGGAGGTAAGCCTGGGTTTATTTATTAGGAACATTGGTAAAGGATTCCCCTTGGATTCTGAATTGGGAATTTGGAAATAAGAAAAGGAAGTTTTTTTTTTTAGATCCGGGGAATATTAATCGGATTTCATTGGGGAAAAGCACCAACAACACCAGTTATATTAGGGTAAAATAAGGGGGAAGAAAAAAACCCCTTTATTAGATGGCTTCGGGTGCTGAAAGGCATGAGGAGGAAAATAGTACTGCTACTGCTATTTTGAGATCAAAGAAGAAGCCAAATTCCTTGTTGGTTGATGATGCTGTTAACGATGATAATTCAGTTATTGCAATTAATTCTAACACCATGGATAAGTTAGAATTATTCCGTGGTGATACTGTTTTAGTTAAAGGTAAAAAGAGAAGAGATACTGTGTTAATTGTTTTAATCGATGACGATTTGGAAGATGGTGCTTGTAGAGTTAATCGTGTTGTAAGAAACAATTTGCGTATCAGATTAGGTGATTTAGTTACAATCCATCCATGTCCTGATATTAAATATGCCTCAAGAATTTCAGTACTACCAATTGCTGATACCATTGAAGGTATTACAGGTAATTTGTTCGATGTGTTTTTAAAACCATACTTTGTTGAAGCCTACAGACCAGTCAGAAAAGGTGACCACTTCGTTGTAAGAGGTGGTATGAGACAAGTTGAATTTAAAGTTGTCGACGTCGAACCAGATGAATATGCTGTCGTTGCTCAAGACACAATTATTCACTGGGAAGGTGAACCAATTAACAGAGAAGATGAAGAAAATAATTTAAACGATGTTGGTTATGATGACATTGGTGGTTGCCGTAAACAAATGGCTCAAATCAGAGAAATGGTCGAATTGCCATTGAGACACCCACAGTTATTTAAAACTATCGGTATTAAACCACCAAGAGGTGTTTTGATGTATGGTCCTCCTGGTACTGGTAAGACTTTGATGGCAAGAGCTGTTGCTAATGAAACCGGTGCTTTCTTCTTTTTGATTAATGGTCCAGAAGTTATGTCGAAGATGGCAGGTGAATCTGAATCTAACTTAAGAAAAGCCTTTGAAGAAGCTGAAAAAAATGCCCCAGCTATTATCTTCATTGATGAAATTGATTCTATTGCTCCAAAGAGGGACAAGACCAATGGTGAAGTTGAAAGAAGAGTGGTTTCTCAATTGTTAACATTGATGGATGGTATGAAGGCTAGATCCAATGTTGTTGTCATTGCTGCAACCAACAGACCAAACTCTATCGATCCTGCTTTAAGAAGATTCGGAAGATTTGACCGTGAAGTTGATATTGGTATTCCAGATGCAACTGGTAGATTGGAAGTTTTACGTATTCATACTAAAAACATGAAGTTGGCCGATGATGTTGATTTAGAGTCAATCGCTGCAGAAACACATGGTTTTGTGGGTGCTGATATTGCATCCTTATGTTCAGAAGCTGCTATGCAACAAATTCGTGAAAAAATGGAGTTAATTGACTTGGATGAAGACGAAATTGATGCAGAAGTTTTAGATTCCTTAGGTGTCACAATGGATAACTTTAGATTTGCTTTGGGTAACTCTAATCCATCTGCCTTACGTGAAACTGTTGTTGAAAACGTTAATGTTACTTGGGATGACATTGGTGGTTTAGATGAAATCAAGAATGAATTAAAGGAAACAGTTGAATATCCAGTCTTGCATCCAGACCAATACACCAAATTCGGTCTATCTCCATCTAAGGGTGTTTTGTTCTATGGTCCACCAGGTACTGGTAAAACTTTATTGGCTAAGGCCGTCGCTACTGAAGTTTCCGCAAACTTTATCTCTGTTAAAGGTCCTGAATTGTTAAGTATGTGGTATGGTGAATCGGAATCCAATATTCGTGACATTTTCGATAAGGCTAGAGCTGCTGCTCCAACTGTCGTTTTCTTGGACGAATTGGATTCTATTGCTAAAGCAAGAGGTAATTCTCAAGATAATGTAGGAGACAGAGTTGTCAATCAATTATTGACTGAAATGGATGGTATGAATGCAAAGAAGAATGTTTTTGTTATTGGTGCTACCAACAGACCAGATCAAATTGATCCTGCAATCTTAAGACCAGGTAGATTAGATCAATTAATTTACGTTCCATTGCCAGATGAAACAGCTAGATTATCCATTTTAAAGGCTCAATTAAGAAAGAGTCCTCTAGAGCCAGGTTTAGATTTAAATGCCATTGCCAAGTCTACTCAAGGATTTTCTGGTGCTGATTTATCATATATTGCACAAAGGGCTGCTAAGTTTGCCATCAAGGATTCTATTCAAGCCAATATTGAAAGAGAATCCGAAAAAGTCAAATCCGAAGATGTTGAGATGTCTGATGTCAAGGAAGAAAATGAAGAAGAACAACCTGATCCTGTTCCATACATTACAAGAGAACATTTTGCAGAAGCTATGAAAACAGCCAAACGTTCTGTGTCTGATGCAGAATTACGTCGTTACGAAGCCTATTCCCAGCAAGTGAAAGCTTCAAGAGGGCAGTTCAGTAATTTTAGCTTTGATGACAATGCTGCTGCTACCAATGACAACAACAACGCTTCAGGTGCTAGCTTTGGTTCTGGTGCAGCCGAAGAAGACGATGACTTGTATAACTAGTTCTACTTCACTTGCAATTAACTTTTAATGATTCGGTTTAAAATTTTATATGGAGGAGTTTATTTTTTTGTGATTTTTTATCTTTTGAGCTATTCAGAGAGGAGCAATCTTAATTCTTCCGCCGAGTAGAATAAATTACTTTAAATAGACATCTTAGACAGTTGATAAATGATATGTAAAGAACATTTTTGAAATATGTAATTAATGTATATTTATGATAAAGTTTGTATATATCGATTAAATATTTACAAAATTGAAATTAAAAACTAAAGCTATTCATGTGATATACTTTATATGCAAAATGTATGATGTTATATTATTTATTAATTGAAGAATGATGACCAGCCTTGGGATTTTTTTATGCTTACCTTATCTTGAGAAATGTTAGAAAAAGAACTAGGAGGAACTAGACTATAGGCCTCATTTGATTTAAAACCTTTTGAAGGGTCTAATGAACCAGCATTTTTAATGTTATTTCCTGACATTTCATCAATTATTTCAATGTTATCTTGAACGTTTGTATTAGATGTATTGGTACTACATGGTGAGCGTAGTTTTAGAGAGTCAGCACTTGATGCTGAAGTGAGAGAGGGTAGTGAAGTGTTTGAAGATGAACGAGAGTGTGCTAAAGAATCTTTTGGAGAGGCATATTCTCTTAACTCTTTTGAAGTAGGAGGATTGAAAGATAGGAACAATTGATGTCTGTCTTTCAATATCTTTTCCTTAATTGGTTGTATGAAATGTTCTAGAGAGCTTACTAAATCATCAGTTGTAATTTGTATATTCCAGTCAAAATATTCTAATAATTCACGCTCAATAGTATTAACTTCACGTAATTGTAATATACCACTAGTATATCTAGCCCAATGCTTATTCAAAGGTGATGAATCATTTAAAGTTTTAGATGCTAGAATTAAACAACCTAAGAATATTCTATGTCTTGTTGACTCGATACCGTAAACGTTTGGTGGGATAATATTTTTAAGTTTCTTTAGATAAACTGTAGTTGCCATTAAAGTTGGAGTTTGAACATTTGATTTTAGACAAAGATTTGTGATGAATTTAACTAAAGGTGGAGGTGGTAATGCAATAGAAATCATACTATTAGATCTTCTGACCTGTATGATAGATTCAGTAATATTTGAAAGGTATGCAATCATTTCCTTTGTTACTGTTTTTTTATTAAACTCTAGTAATGCTTCGTAGTCAGACATGATTATAGCTAAATATTATTATCTTGAGATTAAAAGTGATTAAAATGAAGTGAAGTGAAGTGAAATGATATTAGATGATGTTATTGTAAAAAAAAATGATGAACGCTAAAAAAAATATGCAAATATAAGTAACTAATATAAATGACTGAATTAAATTAAATATATGCTATACTTTTTCTTAAAATATTTTCCGTTTAAATATTATTTATCGGTATTGCCCTTATTTTGATATTTTAACTTCAATAATAAAATATAGTAATGACTTTACTTAATACGGGATTATGATGGATGGTGTCTTATTTTGCTATTTTGCAATTTTAATATTAGATGGAATGTTAAGACAAAATTAAAAATAAACAAATATGTATTAGTCTTAAATACTAAATCATAAACAATAAATAATAGTTTAAGATGTCAATATAATTCATTCATTATCTCCAAAATACACGATGTGAATTTAGTACTGGTTTTAAGCTTGTTAAAGCTGTTTAAACAAGTATGCTTGTCTTAGAGAAGTGCAGCGTGACAAGTTCAAATAAAAGGGCCCTGCTAAACATCCGAAGAGTGTTGGGTAGAACTCTATTGCAGTTCTTCCTGTTTTTGTAATTGTTATTGTTATTACTTTGATGTTGTGATTGTCTCTGAAAAAATAACATCGATCTAACCTGGCTGTTGACACAACATGAACTAACCAGACAAACAACACCAAAAGTATTCAAAAACCAAGAGCAATCCAAGAGAGAGAGAGAGGGAGATACTGACTTTCTTTTTTTCCTCTACCTTGAAGAACAAACCACATTACAGACAGAGGAATAGACCTTGGAAGCAAACAATAAAAAAATAAAACTAATCGTAGTAACTAACTAAAACTAACCAGTAACAAATAGAATGTTTTCATTTCCCTTGTGAGTTACTACAACTATTATTGCTGTTACTGACAAGGTTAGTTTATAGCTTGCTATACCTTCTGCTGTGCTATGCTGGATCAAAAAATAACAAACAACAGTTGCGAAGAATAATAGATAGGAAGAAAAGAGTTCAGCCTGCCTGCCATTTTGATTTTTTGAGTTTCCAGCTAGTTTCCTGATAGTTTGACTAGAAGGAACTAATGAAGTTAGATAAATTGTTTAAAAATATTAATCAGAGCTAGCTGGTTCCTTGGGACAAGTTTTAAAACTGCTTTACTTAGTCTTCACTGTTTTTTTACTTTTTATTTCTTTTCCTTTCCCTCTAAAATTTTGCCGTGGCTAAGAAGCCAACTCACTTTTTCAACCACAAGGAAAACTCTTAAGCTGCAACAGCAACATCACCATCAACTACAACTACAACTACAACTACAACTACAACTACAACTACAACTACAACTACAACAAGTTAGTCTCATCAAAGTTTTCAATTTTACCTAATTTTCTGTGCTTTCCTTCCGGTTCTGGTTCTTGTCCTTGTCCTGCTATGCTACTTGTTTAAACCAGATGATAAACTTACTGCTAATTATAGAAACTTGAACCCAGCGAGCTGTGTCGAAACCCGCACAGAGAAAGAGGGTAGAACACACAAGTCTGGCAAGGGAAATTCGCAGTTTTTGCACTGTGTACTAATCCGCACATATTGAGAAACACTCGTAGGATTTCAATAAAAAAGCAATTAGCAACAGCAGCAGCAAAACGCCGTTTCTTTTTATTCATATAAATAATCCGAACAAAAGAAATAAGAATTCTGAAGTTTCTTTTTATTTTTGTCGGTGCTGGTGAAATGAGACAAAATCCCGCAGGGTTGGTGTAATCAAGAATTTCCTAAAACGGAAATACAAGCCTCGAGGAATAAAAAAAAGGGTTATTCTGCTTGCATTTACTGAAAGGGAAAGAACCTGAAAAAATTCGGAGAGGAAAATACAGTTCAAATTGTCATTTGCAACGACAAGCCATGTGTCAATAAAGGTCCTGTCCTATCTTTAAAGGTTCATATGATATGATATGATATGATGGATACTTTGTTACCCACTTATTCACTTTATTTATTCCATCAAGAGATGGGAACACACAAAGCACACTACATACATTGTTCAGATATTTCATAAAATGATAAATCACCGTCAAATTAAAAGAGAAGAAAGATATTGGGTGAGGTAAACTGGAGTTAAGAATGCGTCTTTCTTCTTTTACGGGTTTTCGTCGTTTTATCTCAGATGGATGACAGCAAGAGATAGTGTCATCTGAACAAGCAAGCAATCCGGTCACAGATAGATTCCAATTGGGCGGCTGCTGATGGCTATTGGATTAGTTTTAAGATGGCTGGATAACAAAATTGTCAAGAACGTAAAAGGAGGGAATTTGCATAAATGAAGAGATCAATGATTTCTTCGTTCGTAATACTCTTCTTTAATAGAATTACCATTGTGCTTGGTATATCGCCTCCATTTGACAGCAATTGTTTCTGACATATATTACAGCGGACAAGAGATGACTATTGAGTAAAATGGCGCCGAGCAAGAATAATAACTAAATAGGTAAAAAATTGAAAGTACAGAACATTGTGCTACTCTTATCCTTTTTATTTTTATTTTTATTTTTGTTTTTTATAAATAGAATAGTAAATCTTGTAGGAAATAAAAAGACAAGCACATTCTCTATGTTTTCGATGGCTCACCTTTGAATTGACAGATTTTTGACAGATTTTATATTTTTATCTTAAAAGAGGTAAAACGACAGTATAAACAAAATGAGAAAAAATATAATCTAGATATGCTTACTTGCTTGTATACATAGTACAGATAATACAATGCTGAGTATTTGTAATAGTGTTATTCCGTCTTGTCACAAATTAGGAATGACTCTTTCTCAACCGATTTATCCAAAGTGTTCTTTTGTCATGCAGATCAATATGCTCACTTAGATATAGTTTCCATCATTTTGATGGATCTAGAATCCACTTTGTTTTAATACAGACACACACACACTCACACACACACACTCACACACACACACATATATATAATATAATTAGAAGTGTAAATGCTGAGTTTTGACTTGAACAAACACTGAAACAATACCAATTATTTTAATTTCATAGAGTTTATTATTCACTGCAGTATAGTACAATATAAACTACCGATAAACATAGTGGCACTCCAAAGCATCATCATTAACAAGATCGAATTCTTGTCCGTTCCCAGTTTTCTCCAATACCCTATCACTATCTTAATGAAACGAACAAATTTTGGATCGTTATTGTAATATTCTTCTTGTGGGTAAAACTCAGATGAATCCATCAAAAGTAACATAGAATTTGGTCCTTCATTAATATCCATTGGAGAAGAAAAATCTGGCTGTCTAATTAATGTTGTAGAACTCAAATTATTGCTTGCACTACCATAATTACTATTACTATTATAATTATGATAGAAATCTATTATTGACTTAGAGCGAGGTCTCTTATTAGGCTCACTATTTCCATCAAGCTCCGTACCTAGCTCATCTTCACTTTCACTATCTGTATATTTATTTTGAGACTCTTCATAATCCTTCCAAAAAAATATAAATATACCAATAATAAAGTTCAATATACTTAGTGGAGTAATGGCACAAAACAAGAAAAATACAATTGATCTAGAACCAAAGTATATGACTACCTTGGTAAATAATTTTTCGTGACCTCTAACATAAATAAAATAAATTGACATCATTAAACTTTGTCCAATAGTTAAAAAAATGTTGCTTAGGACTGTCCATGTCAGCACAACTAGTCCCTTAGTAAGTTCTCTTTTTGAAGTTATTGGTGAGAAATGTATTACAAACCTTTCGTCGTAACCATTAATGTATTGACTTCCATCCAGGGACCTCTTTTGAAAGGAAGATTGACCTCCTCTAGAGAGATCAATAGAGTCATCTAATGTATCTTTTGTCGTCAATTTTAAAGAATTATCATTAGGGTTCACTAGAATAATTTTAGCTTCTAAATTATCAGATTTCGAATCAGGTTTAATACTTTGCTTTGAATCATGATTTTGCAATACTTTAACATCAGTACTACCGTACTTTGGTTTACTATTCTCATAGCTTCCAGAGTATACATTATTTGATAATGTTGATGAGTTTGTCCTTACCTTAACACATTGAGATAGTGTAATATTTCCTCTTGCGCTTAAAATCGATTTCCTTTCAAAAGTATTATTTAATAGATCATTGTTTAAGTTATCTTCATTTGTAAATTCATCTTTATTAAGTATTGGATCAGTCGACGTTTCCCGGTAACAAAAGAGATTACTAACTAAACCAATTACAAATTCACCGAGACACCAGGCAATACCAAATAGATATGATTGCCTTGGTATTATATGCCATTCTGAACTAGCATAATCACCATCATCTGTCAATATGGAGTAATTGTCACCCTGTTCTTGTATTTGTGGATAAGCTAGGCCTATTATTATTATTAACATAAACCAAAAATTAAGGGTAAAATCAATAAAAAGATTTAAAAATATATATTTATCACTTATATTGAAAACCAAAAATTTTACAAAATAGAATAAGAAGGGGGAAAACATACCCAATAATACAGTTCTAAAATAATCTTGAGAATTTGGTTTAAACATTAACGGATCATCGTAATAGTGATCTAGTAATAAATTAGAACTTAAAAACATCCCTAAAAATACACTTAATGTCACAACTAGTGCTGACGTAACAATATAGGGATTAGACGAACAGAATAGTGGCATAAAATAAGAACTTACATGCTGTATTCGAACCATTATATTTTAGTTATTTTATTTATTATATTTATAATTAGGTAATGCTGTTACCAATCTTCTTATATGCAGTCTTTATCAGTAATTGCTTCTAAAATTTCTCCTTCAAAATGTGGAGAACTTCCCCTCTTCAATAGCCAGTTGTATTAATCATTCAATATAAATGATCAATAGCAAACAGATCAATCAATTCAAGAACAGCTTCTATCTTAATTCAACTCCGTATCTCTCTTTTATTCTTAAAACCATATTTTATAATTTTCGATATCTTCTTTTAGGTGACTAAAATAAGCAATACGAGGTCACGTGAAAATAATGTCAATTATTAATGTCTGTAAATTGAATGGAATAAGAATTAAGATAAATTAAATAAATGATAATACATTATGGAGATTAAATTATTAAATTATACATACATTTGAATATGATGATAGATAGGTGGATGACAGAAGTTATTTTTTTCTCAGAAATACTCCGTAATAAAAAAGAATAATTAAAATAATTAAACCGGTTGGAACTTTAAACCAACGTATGCTTTAAAATAACAGAAAACAATGAATAATTCAACTGAAAGAAAAAAAAACAGATAACACACTTGCTTGACAGATTAGAAATAAATAATACAACCCAATTATGAGGGGAAGGAGAAATAGTGGAAAATAATTTCCTCAGTCTGTCACTGAGAAAATAATAATACCAATAATAACATTGTCTTGTATTTTGGTTCAATATCTAACTCTCTCACCAACAATACGGAATTAAAAAAATATTACAAACTGGTAATAGCTTGAAAACAATTAAGATACAATTATACTACTATAATCCAATTGTTAAAATACCATAAATTTAAACCATATAATATTCAAAATATTTAATTGAAAAATGATTGATAAATGCCAGGGAAACATGATGATACAGATGCAAAAAAGAACAGGGCTAATGAATATTATCTTACAATAATTGTCATTTTTAGACACCATAATCTTTTTGTAAATGGAAAACTCTTATGAATTCACTGGTTGATGGATTATCACCAGTTCTTCTCATCCTTGGATGTGGTTTATTATTTTCTACTAATTTTAGAGAATATGGAGCAGATGTACTTACTACGTTAGATGCTTGAGTTGTAGTAGCAGGAGAAGTAGCTTGTTTCTTATTATCAGTAGAAACGCTAACTTTGGAGTTAGATTTAGCATTACTAGCAACTGTACTAGTGATGTTAGTAGATGAAGATATATTAGCAGATGAAATCTCGTTTAATTTTGTAGGTTGATTCATTATCCTATTTGTGAATGGTGGTGTGGTTGGTAGTTTTTGTTGATGTGAAATATCATTGTCCTTTATGTTTGTATTTGATATTGATGCTTTTTCTAATAACAGCAAATTATCATTTAGTGACCTTAGAGTAGATTTTTTTGGAGTTGTGTGTATGGAATTAATTGAAGGTAACGGTGAATTTGTTGAAGGTGAAGGGGAGTTTGAAATTAAATTCTGTATGTCTAAACTTTTTGAAGGATTTAAATTTAAATTTGGTAATTTCAGATTATTGTTATCTTCATCTGTAGCGTTGATAATCCTGTTATTATTAGGTACTGGTTGATTTGTAAGTGGTTGATTCGCAGAGATATTTTTTAAATTTGAGAGTTGAGCTTGTAGTGACCAATGAGCAATTGAATTTAAAGAGCTATTTAGAACTTGAATTATTTGTTGGAAAAGCAATGAATCTATATTTATTTCGGTAAGGTTTTTGTTTTTGTTTTTACTTTCCTTTTCAATGGATTTCAAATTGTTCAAAACCGACAGTATTGCGAATTCCAATTCTTTTGTATTTTTCATTGAACCGTTCAAGTTTGTAGTTGTGGCAGTGGTTGTTGCACTAGCATTAGCACTAGCATTGACATTGGGATTAGTATTCGTAGTATTAGTATTCGTAGTATCATTATTTGCATATAACTGTGAAGAGCCCAATCTATTTAAAGTATAATTTGGCTCTTCAGGAGTGACTAGATGGTAAGGGACTTGTTTTCTCTTTTTTGTAACTTTATTACCGGTAGTAGTTGCAGTGGTGGTGTTAGTGGTAACTGTTTTATTATCAGTAAACCTTACATTATTTGAACCTGTCGACTTTTCAGTTAGAGAAGCATTATTTCTAGTTTTTCTTCTTCCCATTGTGAAGTAGTATAAGTATGGTTACTATTCGATGAAAAATCCTGGTACTTGACAACTGTGGGTATTATCAGTAAATTAAAGGCCAGCAGTAGTTTTTATCTATACAGGCATACACTATACGAATAGCCATATACATAAAAGGAATATGTAATATTGTAATATATTCCTTTTATATATATATATGAATATATATATGAATATGAATATGAATATGAATATGAGTATGAGTATGAATACAAGTATAAGTACAAGTATAAATATATATATAGGGAAGGAATGGGGTAAAGAAAGAGAGAGATAGTGTAAGAACCAAATTAAGAGATGTTATACCGAAATGAAATGAAATGAGATGAAAGGACTGAAAACAGAGCAACGATAGTGATAAAAGTGATTAAAGTTAGGTTTTAGAAGGGAAAATTTGGGTCAAAGTGTCTATCACATTCTTGATTATTTCATTCCATCGATTCCATTCCATCGATTCCATTTCTCATCTCTATCAAATTTTTCGAATTAAGATTAAAGTTTCTAATTTCTCTATTTTGATGGGATGAGATGGTAAAGATAATTCGACGACAGTTGGACAAAACTGAAATTGCTGTTGTGTTGTGTTGTGTTTTCGACGGTTTTTCCATTTTCCATTTTCCATTTTTCATTTCGAAATTCCATTTTCGTTTCGGTTCATTTCGGTTCATTTCGGTTCGGTTCGATTTGGAAATTTGACCATCTATATTTTTGCGTGTTTGTGCGGGCGTGTGTCTTGACGTGTTTCGTAATCTCTTTATCTCCTTCTCCCTCTCTTTCTCTATTTGCCTCACAAAATTGTCAACAGAGGGGGAAGGGGGGGGAAGTGTATGTGTGTGTTCGTATGATGTGATGCTGGTCAAAGAGGAAGCGAAAGAAAGTGGCGAAACAGGACGGAGAAAGCAGGGGGAGGGAGGGGATCGGTTGTTGTCGCCGCCATTCATTCATTGTCTTTTCGGCTAATAGCTCAGCGTTGGTTTTATGTTTTTGTTTTTTTGGGAGGGGGGACAGGAGCGACAGGCGCTGGAAGGAAGGGTAACTGATGGTGTTTCAATTATCGATGGAAAAGAAGAAAAAGATGTTGTCACGTGCATAGCAAGAATACATAAAACACAGACCTCTCGTCGTTCTGTCACAAATCCTCTGTGTGACACTCGAGGGAGCGTCACATCAACTGAATTGTACTGACTGGGAAACCAAATATCAAATACTTGGCATTCTTTTCAATAACCATTTGCATATATGTATATATGCGCATGCGCATGTGTATGTGTATGTATGTGTATTACAGAATATATGAATTAGATACATTACTACCATTACTTTCTTATTACCCTTGTTTCTACTCATCCGCTACAACAACCATATCGGACCGATTCTTGTATCTCATGTGGGAATAAAAACAAGACTAGTAATGATAACAAAGATATAAAAATAACAACAAACATTAAATCTGCATTAGAAATCGAGTTTAAATAGAATTATGAATATGGATGGATTGTGAGAGTGTGAGAGCGTGTAAAAAATATAAATAAATAAATAAAACACAGGATGAAGAGACGTACTGGCACGATCATTTAGTCAATTGACCGATCTTGTCTTCCATTTGATCAATCTTCTTTTGCTGTTGTTTCAACTGCTCTCTCAAAGCCGCTAGTTGCTCCTTTTCGTGTTGTTTTACATAGTAGTCTTCGTTAGCCTTTTCTCTCTTGGTGAACGAATCTTGGGTAGCAGACTCTCTTGGTGCACCTGTTGCACCTTCACTGTATGTTCTGATATATCTCCATGGTTTGGCTGTTCTTACTGAACGTCTCAATACTCCATTAGTTGCCAACATTTCTCCTATGTGTGTCTGGTATTGTATTGTATTGTATTGTATTGTATTGCACTGTGCTTTTGTATGCGCTAAACTATATATGGGTTTCCACTTGTTTTCGAATTAAAAAAAAAAGGGGCCACTTCCTAACTTGAGTATGTATTATTACACAGTTCCTTTTGTATTCAACAATGAAACATAAAACAAAACACACCAAAACAAGCAAATGAACTAAAAGACAACCAAGAGAGACCCAAAACTTACTCCTAATTATACAAATTATACAGATATTTAATCCTCTTTATATACCTTCCCATACTTAATTTTTAAACACACATTTGTATATTTCATAAAGTTGGAACACCCCACCACCAAACGGACCTCCCTCCGTCGTTTTCTTCACTGGCCCAGTGCAACAACAAATCAAATTCAACCGTCCAATCGGATTTTGTGGGTAGAGGTGGGAAGGGAATGAGACAAATGAGAATAGGATTCGTATTTTGAAACTGAAAGGCCGGGTTACGGTTTCTTGTTTCTATCTCTTTTTCTATACTATGTATGATTATGATTATGATTTGATATTGTCACTATATATTTTAGAAAGTGAGAGAATGTGCAGTGAAGTAAATGAATGAATGAATGTTAACTGATCATGGGGAAGGGAGGGGTACTTGGACCCTGACTTTTTGGAACTTGTTATTCTATACCTTGATGTATATTCTGAGTATACCTGGTTTGTCTTGCCACGCTTTTGTGTATTCTTGCAATCGCCAGAATCAATGCAACTGTCCATATCGCTAATGATGTAATAGTTAACACCTTTATCGAGGTTTGTTTATAACAATATTTTAAAAGTTTGTTGTTTGTGGTTGTCTTGCATATATTATAAGCTATTGTATTGATCGAGTTTTCTGTAATCATTATTACCAACGTTGTGCATCCACTTAAAATTAGAAAGAGATCAAATATTATCAGTTTAAATCTACTCAACGATGTCCGTAATGCAATTGGCTTACCTAAGAATTCTTCATAACCAACGTATAAATTATATATTATCGAAATTATATTCAATGATAAAATCATTTGAAGATTTATTGGTGTTGTCATTATCATCATTATGCTTGTTATCGAAGTATTGTTCGATGTCGTTTGTAATATTTGTACTGTTGTCAGCGTGGTTACAATTGATAAACTTGCTAGAATTAATCTTAGTAGTATTGTCAGAAAATTACTTTCAACTAATATCCAATGGATATCGAATCTCAAACTATTGTTTTTAAAAAATTTATTCCATTTTTCCCTTTCTTTAATAATTTCATGTATCAAATCATTATTAGAGTCCATGGATAGACTTTTATTATCATAATGAAGAGGGTTTCTATGGAAACCGTTATTATTATTATTATTATTATTATTATTATTATTATTATTATTATTATTATTCTGAGTAACAATAGGTACTCCATATCCTGCCCCTCCATTAATATAATTGGCATACTGGTAATTGTGGTGATGGTGATGTTGATGTTTTCCATAATAGTAATTTTTCAATTTTCTAATATATTCCAACCATTCTTTTTTATCTTTATTATCAGTTAAACGTAGGTTTTCTAATAATGGGGAATCGAACATCGCTGTTAATCGTTTACCACCTTCCCATTGAGTTTGTAATTTCCAATCCATATATTGTAATTCTCTTTTTGCATTTTCACGTTCCCATGAATTCGGATCATCTAAAGTCAGTGAACATCTATGATCAATATATTCTAACCAATTTGTTTTATTTCTATTTCTATAATAACTATTTTTCCTTGGGTTTAACTTATCATTTTGAAAGACTTGATCTAATACATTTGGAGGTACAGTATTTGGTATATGAGAATATGCATTAATGTTTTGATCTTTTGACATTTGAAGCTTTTGCAATATGATATTTTGAAAGAAACTATGTACAATCTTAAATTTACTAGCATAATTCCATCACCTACTAATACCAAATTAATGAATCCAGTTAATTAACAAATAAAATTATCAAACAGGCATACAACCAACCAACAAATACATGGATACACCAATACATTAATTGTAAATCGAACGTAACTTCTACACAAACAAAAACATACCGTCATTAGCAATTGCTGTCACTGTCACCAACCAACATAATGAACAAAAAGATAGAGAGAGAGAGAGAGATTGGGATACATATGTACCACGCGCGTGACTACAACATCTTTACACCTGCCAATTCATCTGGACACCACAGACAGCCCATCGTCTCCGCTGTCCTTTTTTAAGCAAAAACTACAATTAAGAAAAAAACCCCTCAAACAGAGAACCAAAAAACAACAAGACGAACACTACTACAAAAACCATAGCCCTACCCGAATATAATAGACACCACGTCTATTGACCATAACCCAAATGCAGAAAACTGAAATACAGAACAGGTTACCCGCATCCTACCGCACGAGACTACCAGTTACCCTCCCTTTCATGTCTTTCTCGCGCCTCCCATCTCCCCATCCACAATAGTGTACACAATTTGTTCCCACTCAAAACTAAACCTAACCGCATTTTGTTCAAAAAGACAAGAAAATTGTCTCCAAACGCAGGCGGAAACAGACCGAAGGGGAAACTTCCAAGCAAGACCCAATTACTCTTAAAGTCAAACTGTGTCAAGATTCGTATAAACTGATATCCATCAACGGCATAATACCTATCTATACATACATACGCTCATATTGCTATCTTCCTCCCTCTCTCCCTGCTCATCCAGCACTTTCAATTAGCTATCTCAATATTCAAATTACCATACTGAGACCAGGCACTGCTTCAACCGTACTACACAACTTTCACCACCATCGCTCTCTCTCTTGACACTCATTAACTGAAAAATTTTTCATCTTTCATTCAAATCAGCAAAGGCATCAGCATCAGCATCAGCAATAGCATCTCATCTCATCGCATCAGGCAGAAAACATAATTTCTGTTGGTCAAAGTGTCTAGGGTCAGAGTGAGAGTGGCCTGTCTTTGCCTCTCTTCCTGCGTCGTCTTCGCTGGTCTTGTCTTATTATTCTTTTCTTTTTTTTCTTCCATTTTTTTCATTGAATTTTTCGAAACTGCTTTAAACCAAATTTTTCAAATTATGGGAAACTTATTGTATATAAGTAACACTTTATTTTACTATATTATATTAAAGGTTTCCCTTATTTAAGTTAGAAATTTTTCTATATTACTCTTCTTACTTTTATTATATATTTCTAATTTCTACTTTTCAATCCTTTCCCATATCCCCATAGAACCAGTCGATTTATCGATATGCGTGCCAAGTGGAGAAAGAAGAGAGTTAGAAGACTTAAGAGAAAGAGACGGAAGGTTAGAGCTAGATCCAAATAAGCGAACTCATATAGTTAATTTACAATAATTAATTTATATTTTATTTGGGTTTATTATTAATTGAATGTGTGATTGATGTGCTGAAATATTGCTCATCGGTATATACACTTCTTTAATACTCTTTCTACAGTTTCTCTTAGGTATATATTTATCATTTTATAGTTATGTACTTTAATTGAAATAATTTCTGTTCGCAATTGCCCCACCCCCTTCACCAGAAACTCCTATAGTTTTTTTTTCATTGTATATAAGTTGTAATCCCTACACATCCATAACTATTGATCATAAAATTTTTATAATGGTTTAATGATTGTTTATATGTGTGTTATACAAAAAAATATCTATTTTATTTATTTTTAGATGTAAATTGTGGAATTAATTGGTTTTTTATTTTTTTTCAACTGCTTTTTAGTGGTTTCAATAATCAAGGGAAAAAAAAATTTTAAATTATACAATTGTTTAATTTAATTTTAATACCTTCAAATACACGGAAAAATCAATCCACCTTTCCTTTCCCGAATTGCTTCTATCAATTCAATCAGTAGATTCAGCAAATCTTTCTTGCATGGCGGTTAGCAATTTCTCGAATTCTTTATGTACTTCAGCTTCACCCCTGCTTGGTTCTAAAAACTTGGTAGATGATACCTTATGTCTGATATCAGATGTAGATTCAGATAATTTAGACCAATTAGCACCATTAGAAACCGCCTTTTGTGCTTCATCATAATACGATACAAATGCCCTCATCATATCATATGTCTTCCAAATTGGACAGAATGCATCATATGTGGAATAACCATTTTGTTGTAAGAAATCTTCTTCAATCAATGTGGAGACATCTAATGTGATCTTATCACTATCACTTAATGCACTCTTACCAACCAATTGAACAACCTGTTCTAATTCTTCAGCATTAGATAAAATCTCCTTTATACGATTTCTTAATACTGGGAATTCTGAATAATTGCTATCATAAAACTTACCCAACACATTGGTATATTTGGAATAAGAGATTGATGTGTTGATGGATGGGAAATGTTTTCTTTGAGCTAATTTCTTATCCAAACCCCAGAAAACTTGGGTAATACCTAATGTGGCTGTAGTAACCGGATCAGAGAAATCACCACCTGCTGGAGAAACAGCAGCAACAATGGAAACAGAACCAACACGATCTGGAGAACCTAATGCAACAGCTTTACCGGCTCTTTCGTAAAAGGATGCTAATTTGGCACCTAAGTAAGCTGGGAAACCTTGATCAGCAGGCATTTCACCCAAACGACCAGAAATTTCTCTTAAAGCTTCTGCCCATCTAGATGAGGAATCAGCAATCATAGAAACATGTTTACCTTGATCTCTGAAATATTCGGCTAATGTAATACCGGTGTAAATAGACGCTTCTCTGGCAGCGACAGGCATGTTAGAAGTGTTTGCAACTAATGTAGTACGTTTCATAATTGGCTCCTTCTTACCGTTCATTTCAGTAAATAATTCAGGGAATTCCATTAAGACTTCAGCCATTTCATTACCACGTTCACCACAATTGTGAACAACAACTTGGTTAGACAACATAAATTGATGATCAGAGTATTCTGGTAAGGTAATACCGTAATATTCAGCTTCTTCTAATTCTTGCAATTCGAAATAGAATTCAACCGGTTCACGTAATAAATCTCTGCTTTCACATTTAGTGTAATTAATAGCAGAACAACGAGATAGAACTGATTTTAATAATTCACCACCCTTTACTGTAACATTATAACAAACATCATTCAACTTACCACTACTTTGAGTTACATCAGCCTTTAAACCCAATGAACGGATTAAACTAACAATACCGCTCATGACTTTATTATCTTCTAATTCAATAGTACATGAAATATCTTGCTTATTGTTATCAACAGAACCGTTGGAATCAATCAAACCAGCCAAGAAAGTTTCACGAATTTCAATCAAATCACTTGATAAGAAACTTGGAACAGTCTTGTTACCATCTTGAATAAATCCTAACTCTTGGATAGCATCCCACAATAAATTATCAACATTTTGGTTTGTACTAGTAGAATTACCATAGAAATTAACATTACCAACCCTAGTAGTTGTTCTTTCTTGTTTAAATTCTGATTTTAAATTTAATAAATCAGCAGCTGCTACTATATTATTCATTAATGATTCATCGGTGGTACTAACTGAAAGACCTGCTCTACGTGTCATGCCACTACCAGTCCATAAACCTAACAAATAAGCCAATGCAGTTGGTGATTTTTCGTTTAGATTATATTTAGTGTTCTTCAAATATTGTAGGAGGTTTTCGCATTCATATAAGACTGGAGCATAAACTTGGTATGTGGCTTCACGGATTGATTCAGTCAATCTATTAATATCTCTAGGTTCGACAGTCCATTGGAAATAATCTTCTAATGACTTATTGTATTGAGAGACAAATTCTTGGACATCATCCATTCCTTCTGAGACAGGGTATATCTTAGAAACTTCCTTTATTAATTCAATTATTCTTGCATCTTCAGTAATTTCCTTGAATAGGTCAGTGTAGACAATTTCATTACATTCGATACCATCTATAATACGAGTTTGAACTTTAATGTTTCTTGGAGTTCTGACAATCAATTGATGTGTAGCATTACATACAAAAGAGAATAATTCTGATGTTGAGTTTTCATTAATTTCATTAACCTTGTACATTTTGTCAGAACCTCTTGGCAATTGAGTAACCTCACGAGGTTGACCATCTTGACCCATAACTAAATCACCGATTTCAATATCTTCGATGTTTTTAATAGATGAATCAGCCATCATAACTTCAGTACCTTTGGCAAAACAACCAACGTAAATAATTGCATCTGAGTTGGAATATTTCGATAAAGATTGGGAAATAACTGTCTTACCACAACCAAAAGCACCTGGAATACAGGTAGTACCACCTTGGACACATGGGAACAAAGAATCCAAGACTCTTTGACCAGTTAATAACGGATAGTTAGCAGCCAATTTTTCAGCGACAGGTCTTGGGACACGTACAGGCCAAGTATGGAACATAGTATATTCGTATTTTTGGCCATCGAATTCAACTTCCAATATTTTTTCTTCAATGGTATATTCACCGGCAGTTGCTACCCAAGTTACAGTACCTCTTGCTCTTGGTGGCACCAATACTTTATGGTCACTAATTAAAGAGTTTTCAAAAACTGTACCAATGATATCACCACCTGAAATGTGGTCACCTACTTTTATGTCAGCTGGAGTGAATTGCCATTTAATTTCTCTATTCAAAGATGGGGCATCTATACCTCTTGGGATATAGATAGATTGAGAAATTTCTTTAATTGCTTTCAATGGTCTTTGAATACCATCATAAATAGTTTCCATCAAACCTGGACCCAATTCGACAGACAATGGTTTACCAGTTCTTAAAACAGGGTCACCGACAGTGACACCTGCAGTTTCTTCGTAAACTTGAATAGTAGCTTTATCACCATCGATTCTAATAACTTCACCGACCAAATTATCATGACCAACCTTGACCAATTCATACATTGCACAACCGATCATATTTTCAGCGATCACAACAGGACCAGAAACCGAGTAAATGGACCCATACTCGGATTCATTGTGGTCTTCTAATGAAATTCTTTTAATTTCCTTACGTGCATTTTCAATTGCACCTGCCATGATGACTCAAGTATTCTTTCTTATACAATATATATCAACAGTTCTTTATGCTAAAACAAAAGACAAAAATTGCAAACCCAATTTTTTTTTTCACCTTAACCAATCTCTATACTACCTAGAGATCAAATGTCAACAACAATATCGAATTCCAAGGCAATTGATATATAAGATAGTACCTTGATTTCACCTTATCTAACCTTTTACAGAACTACAAATCTTAAAATATCGTACTCATTACATTATATGTATGTATATATATATATGTATATATAGTAAATTAACAGTTTTATCTTAATTTTTTTGCAGTCTACAAATTTCCCCTTCATATTAATATTCCCATTATTCTCTGGACTTCTCCTTTCTTTGCAACCAAAATGCGACGTGAAAAATTCGAAAAGAAAAAAAAGCAAATTAAGAGTGTGCATGGCGGGTTACCCGGACGGCACGTGATCTGTATCGCAAAATAGGTCCAATGTGGGTGTCAGTAATTTAATTTACACAACAACAGTGACAATAAGGTCATCATCTTGTAGTATTAGTACATATATATATACCAATTACAATACTTTGGCTTACTCGAGTGGTGATCTTCAATGTGTGAAGGGATAATGCAAATACAATTCACCAGCCAGATTAACCAAAGGAAACTGACTTATCTCTTGAATGCTTTTATTTCAGTACAATTTATAATATATATATAATATACGTATACATATTATTTATAACGTTTTATAAAATTTGTTCAACAACACCATGGAAACCAATGGGATTCTGAAGCCATGTTATTTTGATGATTGGCTTGTAATTCCCTGGACAGTTGTTGGCTCATTCTAGTTCTGGTTAAATTAGTGTCATCTTTTTGTTTGGATTGCCATTGCTCTACTGCATTGACATAATCCAAGGGCAAAGCCATCCCGTAATACTGTTTGTATTCTTGGAACGGTTCAGATTTATTTTTGGTCAATGTCCCGTTTTTATGTACTACACTAGTTATCGTATTATGTTTGGAGGTACCTCTGTCTGACGCTGCATATGGTAATGCAATTGGAGTAACTATCGTAGTAGATTCATGGTTTGAAGTTATATTTATATTCTCATCAGTGCCATTATTGAAATCGAAATTGAATTCATCGCCGATTTCATAAATACTGTTTGCAGCACGATCGAATGGGAATTCATTACCAAGATTGTTCACTGAAGTTGTGGTGGTCGTGGTCGTCGTTGTATATAACCAATTTTTAATAGAAGCTAGACGTAATTCAGACTTCATTGAAGGAACTCCACTTAAACTTAATTTTCTAGTGCCATTGGTGTATTTTCTTTTCTCCTTAGCAGATGGCATTTGATAAGGATGAGTGCCATCGATTGACATCATTGCTCCGTTATGTGAGGATACTGGAGTCTTAAACTTCATCAAAGTATCTTCAGTTTTAATTTGAAATTTGTTGATCTCTAAATCCTTTGTAGACCTTAATTCTTGATTTATCTTAACGATCTCCCTTATACTTGGTAAGGAAAAGTTCATGTCATTTGGTGGTTTTTTATTCAAAGATTTATTATTATTATTATTACCATCATGAGTAGTGTTAACAACGGCAGCGTTATTGTTATTGTTTGGAAAGAAATTTAATTTCCTTACATCGATTTCAGTTTTTGAAGGTCCTGACTGACATGGGCTTAGATTTATTGGCATTATAAGAATTTTATTCAAATCAAAGATCAATACTTTTATTACCGAATTAAATTTTAATATTATACGATAGAGGATTTGTACCAGGCAAAGGGTGCAACATATTTAACAAGAGTGGTTATATATAATCCAATAAATGAGAATCTAATTTTTACAGTCATTATTACTTTTGTTGTTGTTATTGTTATTGTTATTGTTATTGTTGTTGTTGTTGTTCCTGAGAATGACTTAAGCGACACATGTAATTAACGAATCAATTGTGCATATCAATATTGCAGTTATTTAACCACAAAATAATGCTATATCAGTTGAATAACAATCCATCTTATGTATCTAGTTGTATATATAGTGACGCACTTTTATCTCAGATTAGAAATGACACTTGATCTATAATGTCGTGTCTTTTCTACCAAAACCACAAATTATCTCCTAGTACACAATTTGTCCCAATTTGTCCTACTATACATATAAATATATACATTTGAGTGCAAACACAATAGTTTTTCCGAGAAACCCTAATTCTTTTCTTTTCTTGCTTTCTTTAAGGACAAATGATATCATAGCGTACGTAAGAGGATAGGATATACCACGGATATTGAGGTCACATGGCTATACTGACGTATATTCTTCTGTGTTCTGTTATAAGGACAGCAATCAATTGGCAGACTTTACCGTTACAGTTGCA